CATATTGGATGGTTTTTCGCAAGATGGTGTTAGGCATTACCCGTCCGTCATAGATCCTGCCGGATTATGACAAACTATGAGGTTATCTTTTGGATTAGTTTCTTCACATAAGGCTTCTCCATCTGTGTTCTCCATTTCACCAAAAGCAGAATAGCCGTGTTAGGGTACATACACCAGTGGTTAAATTGATGCTAGTACTGACAGCGAAATTCGCAGGTTCAAACTAGCCATTGTTTTAAATAAAAAAAAGCTCAAATCAGTAACATTCTCTATTTTTGTTTACCCAAGACGGTTAAAAATTTTAATTTATTATTCTATTTTCCAGGACTTATTCGGATCCATGCCCAATGAGACCGTGCGTAAATACGAGAGCATCTTCGAGCACCCGATCGACGTGGACTTGTGGTCGGGCGGAGTGTCGGAGCGGCCATTACCTGGTTCTATGTTGGGACCGACATTTGCGTGTGTGATCGCTACGCAGTTCTCGTATTCCAGACGAGGAGATCGGTTCTGGTGAGTTCAATCATTATGATACAGTGTCTATTTCACTCACCCTGCCCTGGCACCCGATCGACGTGGACTTGTGGTCAGGCGGGGTGTCGGAGCGACCGCTGCCTGGCTCTATGTTAGGACCGACATTTGCGTGTGTGATCGCTACGCAGTTCTCGTATTCGAGACGAGGAGATCGGTTCTGGTGAGTTCAATCATTATGATACAGTGTCTATTTCACTCACCCTGCCCTGGCACCCGATCGACGTGGACTTGTGGTCAGGCGGGGTGTCGGAGCGACCGCTGCCTGGCTCTATGTTAGGACCGACATTTGCGTGTGTGATCGCTACGCAGTTCTCGTATTCCAGACGAGGAGATCGGTTCTGGTGAGTTCAATCATTATGATACAGTGTCTATTTCACTCACCCTGCCCTGGCACCCGATCGACGTGGACTTGTGGTCAGGCGGGGTGTCGGAGCGACCGCTGCCTGGCTCTATGTTAGGACCGACATTTGCGTGTGTGATCGCTACGCAGTTCTCGTATTCGAGACGAGGAGATCGGTTCTGGTGAGTTCAATCATTATGATACAGTGTCTATTTCACTCACCCTGCCCTGGCACCCGATCGACGTGGACTTGTGGTCAGGCGGGGTGTCGGAGCGACCGCTGCCTGGCTCTATGTTAGGACCGACATTTGCGTGTGTGATCGCTACGCAGTTCTCGTATTCCAGACGAGGAGATCGGTTCTGGTGAGTTCAATCATTATGATACAGTGTCTATTTCACTCACCCTGCCCTGGCACCCGATCGACGTGGACTTGTGGTCAGGCGGGGTGTCGGAGCGACCGCTGCCTGGCTCTATGTTAGGACCGACATTTGCGTGTGTGATCGCTACGCAGTTCTCGTATTCGAGACGAGGAGATCGGTTCTGGTGAGTTCAATCATTATGATACAGTGTCTATTTCACTCACCCTGCCCTGGCACCCGATCGACGTGGACTTGTGGTCAGGCGGGGTGTCGGAGCGACCGCTGCCTGGCTCTATGTTAGGACCGACATTTGCGTGTGTGATCGCTACGCAGTTCTCGTATTCGAGACGAGGAGATCGGTTCTGGTGAGTTCAATCATTATGATACAGTGTCTATTTCACTCACCCTGCCCTGGCACCCGATCGACGTGGACTTGTGGTCAGGCGGGGTGTCGGAGCGACCGCTGCCTGGCTCTATGTTAGGACCGACATTTGCGTGTGTGATCGCTACGCAGTTCTCGTATTCGAGACGAGGAGATCGGTTCTGGTGAGTTCAATCATTATGATACAGTGTCTATTTCACTCACCCTGCCCTGGCACCCGATCGACGTGGACTTGTGGTCAGGCGGGGTGTCGGAGCGACCGCTGCCTGGCTCTATGTTAGGACCGACATTTGCGTGTGTGATCGCTACGCAGTTCTCGTATTCGAGACGAGGAGATCGGTTCTGGTGAGTTCAATCATTATGATACAGTGTCTATTTCACTCACCCTGCCCTGGCACCCGATCGACGTGGACTTGTGGTCAGGCGGGGTGTCGGAGCGACCGCTGCCTGGCTCTATGTTAGGACCTACATTTGCGTGTGTGATCGCTACGCAGTTCTCGTATTCGAGACGAGGAGATCGGTTCTGGTGAGTTCAATCATTATGATACAGTGTCTATTTCACTCACCCTGCCCTGGCACCCGATCGACGTGGACTTGTGGTCAGGCGGGGTGTCGGAGCGACCGCTGCCTGGCTCTATGTTAGGACCGACATTTGCGTGTGTGATCGCTACGCAGTTCTCGTATTCCAGACGAGGAGATCGGTTCTGGTGAGTTCAATCATTATGATACAGTGTCTATTTCACTCACCCTGCCCTGGCACCCGATCGACGTGGACTTGTGGTCAGGCGGGGTGTCGGAGCGACCGCTGCCTGGCTCTATGTTAGGACCTACGTTTGCGTGTGTGATCGCTACGCAGTTCTCGTATTCGAGACGAGGAGATCGGTTCTGGTGAGTTCAATCATTATGATACAGTGTCTATTTCACTCACCCTGCCCTGGCACCCGATCGACGTGGACTTGTGGTCAGGCGGGGTGTCGGAGCGACCGCTGCCTGGCTCTATGTTAGGACCGACATTTGCGTGTGTGATCGCTACGCAGTTCTCGTATTCCAGACGAGGAGATCGGTTCTGGTGAGTTCAATCATTATGATACAGTGTCTATTTCACTCACCCTGCCCTGGCACCCGATCGACGTGGACTTGTGGTCAGGCGGGGTGTCGGAGCGACCGCTGCCTGGCTCTATGTTAGGACCGACATTTGCGTGTGTGATCGCTACGCAGTTCTCGTATTCCAGACGAGGAGATCGGTTCTGGTGAGTTCAATCATTATGATACAGTGTCTATTTCACTCACCCTGCCCTGGCACCCGATCGACGAGGACTTGTGGTCGGGCGGAGTGTCGGAGCGACCGCTGCCTGGGTCTATGTTAGGACCTACGTTTGCGTGTGTGATCGCTACGCAGTTCTCGTATTCGAGACGAGGAGATCGGTTCTGGTGAGTTCAATAGTTGGCTTTATACACGGTGTAAGGGACAGCCCTCCGAATACTGAAAGGGTGCATTCAGACCATGAAACTGTAGAACTTCCCAATGGGAAGTTCCCATAGAAATAAATTTCAGGAAACGTAAAAAAATTTTTGACTTCCCATAGTAAATGCAATCAGTTGATCGTGATTTTGTAAAGGAAGTCGAAATTTTTTTTTCGTTTCCTGAAATTTATTTCTATGGCAAGTTGTTCAATTTCATGGTCTGAATGCACACTATCAGTATTCGGAGATATCCTGTCCCTTACACCCCGTAGAATGTCTATTTCACTGACTCTGCCCTGGCACCCGATCGACGTGGACTTGTGGTCGGGCGGAGTGTCGGAACGACCATTACCTGGGTCTATGTTAGGACCGACGTTTGCGTGTGTGATTGCTACGCAGTTCTCGTATTCCAGAAGAGGAGATCGATTTTGGTGAATTCAATGATTATTTCGTTCTATAAAGTGACTGTTTAATTTGACACCCGATCGACGAGGACTTGTGGTCGGGCGGAGTGTCGGAGCGACCGTTGCCTGGCTCAATATAAGAGCCGACGTTTGCTTGTGTGATCGCTACACAGTTCTCGTATTCGAGACGAGGAGATCGGTTCTGGTAAGTTCAATGATTATCGGGGTCTATGAAGCAGCCATGTCTCTTTACCTTGCCCTGGCACCCGATCGACGTGGACTTGTGGTCGGGCGGTGTATCTGAACGACCGCTGCCTGGTTCTATGTTAGGACCGACGTTTGCGTGTGTGATTGCTACACAGTTCTCGTATTCAAGAAGAGGAGACAGATTTTGGTGAGTTCAATGATTATTGGGGTCTATAAAGTAGCTATGTCTCTACCTTACCTTGCCCTGGCATCCGATCGACGTGGACTTGTGGTCGGGTGGTGTGTCGGAGCGACCGCTGCCCGGGTCTATGTTAGGACCGACCTTCGCGTGTGTCATAGCTACACAGTTCTCGTATTCCCGAAGAGGAGATCGGTTCTGGTAAGTTCTGTGATCATTGTAACGTGGCTATTTCTCGCACCCCATCGACGTGGACTTATGTTCGGGCGGTGTGTCGGAGCGACTATTGCCCGGGTCTATGTTAGGGCCGACGTTTGCGTGTGTGATTGCCACGCAGTTCTCTTATTCGAGAAGAGGAGACAGATTCTGGTGAGTTTTATACAATTTTTTCATGTCTGTTTTTCATCTAGTAAATCAATTAAAGCTAATAATCAGTATGAGGCTCTTATAGGTAGGTATGCCTACTGCACACATGGTTCCGGCTGCGATTTTCAACAAGACATATTTTAATAATTAGTTTGGTAAATGGCTATTCTCAAGACTGGATGTTCCTTGTAGTAGCTATTGGTGTAACCTGATAGGATCAGACCATTCACGCTCTGCCTTCGCCATAAAGAACAGCGTGGCGTATAGTATCTATCTAAGCATCATATTTTTTTCTATGTTCCAGGTACGAACTACCGAACCAGCCGTCGTCGTTCACCCCCGAGCAACTGAAGGAGGTGCGCAAGGCTCGGCTCGCGCGGATCATCTGCGACAACACCGACATCATCGACACGGTGCAGCTGTATCCTATGGTGCTGCCTGACCACGAACTGTGAGTTGGAACACTTTTGTAGATAGCGTCTTTTAAAAGGAGAGAAAAACGTAAAACTCTACTCAGAGACCACTAAATAAAAGCGCGAAATCCTACAAAAGTAACAATTTTACAGTGACATATCTCGAGCTAATAATGGGCAAACCCCAAGGCAAAACCCTTAACACATGTGTTAATTTGGAAAATTACAATAAAGCAGAGTACCTAATGGCGTAACAGTATACGGGTCGATTATAAAACCCGTCAAAAGTACCACGATTTATTGATAATTTGTATTATCATAAATTTCAAATGAGAAAATTGAAAAATTCATTAGCGACCGCCGGGACTTGAACCCGGGACTGTGGGGTACCTTCCCACCACCGCTCTGCCAACTGAGCTACGGGCGCCTGGCGGAACCTGATGAATTTCTCAACCTCTTGGTTGCCGGCAGAGTAGAATTAGCACCACCCCCTCTCTTCCCGTGGGAGTCGTAAGAGGCGACCGAGGGATAAACCCGACCCAAACAGCCAGGGCCAACCGTATGGTGGCGGTTAAACCACCACAAAAGCATTCCCAAGGAGGGTTGACGTCTGGTAGGCGGCCGGTCGTAAAATTAAGCCAAATCCTTTTGCAACACGATTTTGTGTTCAACGAAACGTGTTGCGCCGACCCCAAGTAATTGGGATAAGGGCAGGAAGATGATGACTTTGGTTAGTCACAGTGCTTTATTGAATGAATGAATGTTTCAATTTTCTCATTTTCAATTTATGAGAATAATATAGCACTGTGAGTGCATTTAAATCCCAATACAACTTGTATTATTTGTTTCAGAAATCCGCGCGTGCCGTGCCGAAGCGGCATCATCCCGTCGATAGACTTCAGCGCCTGGGCTGAACCCGCGCCCTTCCACGGGCCCAAGCCCTTCGTAAGTAGCTTCGACTTCGACCACTACGGCAGGAAGTAGCACCGTAGTCCCCCCTAGCACCTAGTTTACACGTAGTCATCACGTAGATTGTTTGAAAGCTGAATAGGGTCAAATTTGCAATTTACTATATCAAGGTCACTTCGTCAATAGCATTTAATTTTCACTGCCAACAACCAAAAGGAATGAAATTATGACCGATTTTTAACCACTGGGCGCGGTCGATAAGTTTTGATAGATCCTACCGTCTGCGCCAAATCCAATATCTTTGAAAAGAAACAAAACACTAAACCTATTATTAGTAAAAACTGTTTTCCATTTATCACTGCCCTATTCAGCTTGATCATACTGCCATTGACCTGTACATATTATCATACATTGTAATAAAAGTATTTGATAACAAACAATAGTCATTTTATATTAAGGTCTTGAGGTCAATAGCGGAGTAGTTATAAAACCGACCGTGCGACAAATTATCCGTACGTTTATAATTTATCGCATGGTCTTCCTAAACTTATTTATATGATGTAGAGTAAGAAATCGTACAAACTTAATGTAGAAGGTGGTTTAGCAGAAGCCGAACGCTTGATTGCCATATATCTGTAGCTCAAACACTGATAGAAAAACACTTAGTTATTTTGTATTCGCTAAAAGTAGAAATCATTTAGCAAAAGGTGTACTTACATACGACATAGTACTCCTACTATTACTCTTACGTTTTATTTATGCCTGCTAAATACTCATTTTGTGTATATCAAAAATCAGTCATGTATTAATTCGTATGTAACATCCTTATTTAGTGCACATTAAACAACTTGACCCCTATGATTAAAGAACATACTTAATCCAAGTTTTATTATTTTACACCTGCATAATTTTGACAAATGTAATGTATTTTCTGGGTCACATCGAAAAACCTACAAGTTGTTGTTTTTAACTTTTAGGTTTTTGTATGTAACGAATGTAGTTGTTGTGCTTTATTTATTTTGTAGTCAACAGTGTATTGTAACAGTGATGCATGGAATATTTGTAGATTTGTGTAAATAGAATTACAAAATATGGATTTAAACACAACTTGTTTTATTTTACCCTAAGATAGCAATGAAAACTGTGTAATGTAAGGTAGTGACCACTATTATTATTTTGTATGTAGTGCACTATAGTTAGTGATACAGTAGAGTGTAATAGAATAGAGTGTGTAGCCATGCCAATTTCAAGGTGAGTAAAGTACACAATGACAATAATTATTTAATGAAGGACATATTATAAAAATACCGATTTAAAAGGCCTCTTCTAAAACTCTTTTGCAGATAACAGAAGCATACGTTCCAGTTAAGAACAATACTGAAAGTGGACATCTCTCAGTTAACGCTACAGCCAACGCTAACGAAACCGAGACTAGCACAGTTGAAAACGAAACCAAGTCTCCTTGCAATGGCGACAACTGCACAGAAGCTGTTCTAAATACAGTCAAAGAACACCATGGATTTGAAATTAGTACTATATCACCCTGCACTGGTGATAACTGCACTGAAAGTGTTCTAAATAAACTCAAAGAACCTCTTGAATTGGAAATTAGTACTATATCACCTTGCAATGGTGAAAACTGCACACAAACCGTCGGAAATTGTACTGACTGTTCTAATAAAGTTAAGGAATCTCATGGAGCAGATACCGTTTTGAAATACGTTTACAAAAAAGATGACAAAGTAAACATCAATAATAAAGCAACGGGACCTCTGCAAAACAGCCTTAAGAGGAGAAGGTCTGTTGGAAAATTGAGAATAATTAAGAAGAAAAAGAAGCAGGATGATGGTCTACGGCAGGCTGCGAGCGCCCCTTTGATAGTAAATTACGAGACGTCACATGGACCTCCATCTCCACCTGGTCCAGCCTTCGCAAGGCAAACCAATAATATAATCAACGGCGCACACTTAGCAGATTTCAACATTGAAACACTACACGATGATCAACCGAATCGAAACGCACAAGAAACTGACAAAGACAAACCAAGTCATGAAAGAGATAATAACTACAAATCGCACGAAGATGAAAAGAGTGATGATAGCGAGGATAAGTCAAATGTAAAGACAAACACAGATAGCGATGATAGTGCTGAGAGAGAGGAACCTTCAAATAGTTCTAGAAGTTCAAGTGCTGAAGATAGTTCTGAAAGTAATAATGATGATGTGAAAGATTACAAAAAGATAAATGATGACGAAGAGGGCAGTAGTGAAAAATATAACGATAAACAACAAAACAGAGAAGTGCATGAAGAGGACGACAGTAGAGAGCAAGGTGAATATAGAGACAGAGAATCAGAAAATGAAAGCGGTGAAGATAGCGATGATGACAGGCAACGCTCTTCACTTAGAGAGCGTAAACGTCATGATGATGACGATGATGATGAAGATGAAAAGTACAAAAACTCCAATAGAACTAACGCTCCACGACGAGATTACAATCAAGAAAAGAGTCACAACAGAGAATCTGAGGGTGACAGACAAGCTAATGAATATTCTGGGAGTGACGAAAGTAATGAAAACAAAGAAAGAAGTTCTAAACAGGACGATGAAAGCAATTATAATCGAAATCCTACCAGGCAATCAAAATATTCGGCTTCACCAAAATATAGCGAAGAAAGTGATGAACGAAGTGAAGAGAAGAGTAACAATTTGAGAAAAGATAGCAGAGAAAACTTTAACGACCGCGATGATAATAAATCTGATTTTTCAAAACCACGTGATGATAGTTCAGAAAGCTATAAAACAGAAAATCTAAAAGAGAAATTGCCATTATCTGATCATAAAGAACCTTCATCAAGATACCACAATTCACCTGATGAACAATACAATAAACACAATAACCAAAGCATACGAGAGCCTTCTGAACATGAAAGCGAAGAAGAAGAAGAAGCTATTATTGCAATAATGAAACGAAAAAATAGAAATCATCACGATGGAAAAGTTAAGGAAAACTTGGAGTCACCTATCAAAATTAAAGATGTAGATTTAGGTGATTTTAGAAACTTTGAACGAATACATGTAAACGAAAAAGGTATAGTAGAGCCAGTTATAGAAAAGTATGATAATTATGAGACTCATCCAGATTCTTTAATAAGACCCTCACCAGATCGAATACAACACGAACACGGAAAACAATCAACAGAAGATGCAGACAATTCAGCGAGCAATGAAAGTAACGAAGAAAGTAACCAAAAGACTAATATAGATGATGATGAAGTTAAACCTGTAGTTGAATTAAATGCTGAAAAAGAAGGATCTGTAGAAGATCATAATAGTAAAGAAGCATTGGTAGAAAAACCAAATGAAGATACAAGTCTAGAGACACTTCTTGGAGTTAAAGAGGCAAATGGTGACGAAACAAATGACAAAGTAGATGAACCAAAACAAAAAGACAGAGGAGACGTTAAACAACAGTTTGAGAGGATTCCTCTGAATTATAATCATGCTAAAAAGGAAGAAGAACAAAGTAATGAACAACCTAATGAAAGAACTGATGATGAAAATTCTGAACCCCAAAAAGACATCCCTACTGGCAATGACGATAGTTCCCTGACCAAGTACAATCCGAAAGAACCAGTTCAATATGACGAGCATTTAAATTTTAAGTTCGATGACGTGAAAATTAAATTACCTGACATTAAATTACCAGATGACATTTTATCGATACCCGATGAACAGACATCCTACGCAAAAGATGATAGAAAGAACAAGCAACCGAAAAAAGAGAAATTCTTTCATTATGATGAACACGAATATAATAGTGATGATGATCATGCTCATAAAAATGACAATGAAGACGATGACCATGATGATTACGTGCCCAGTTATTTTGGACACTACAAAAAAGATCATAGAAAGAAACACAAGAGTAACAAAGATGACGACGATGATGATGATGAGGAAGAGGAGGAAGATTTGTATGAAAAGTTTGTAAGAGAAAGATTTGGCAAAAAAGGTACGTTCGAAAAGAGGTCAGCAAGATATAGTGCTCCTACCGTACCCGATAAAGAAAATGAAGAACTGTACCAAGCTCTAAATAAAGTGCTGCAAAAAGCTGCTAATATTGAAAAAGAAGCGCAGCAGAGTGGAGATCCTAATGCAGGATATGTGTGGACTGTAGAATACCAAAAACCTTTGTAAAAATCTGTTGAAATCAATTCTTAGATGAGTAATTAAAAGATAAGTTAGTATTGTAACTAGGTAATTATTTATGAATAATTTTAAAAATCTTGAAATAAACTTGAAAAAATTAGTAACGAAAGCTATCTTTGATTGATCCTCCTTATTTGTTCAATCCTAGTCTGATTTTCAGTGGATTTTCATGATTCATTATGTCCTAAGAAGCAAGGTGTCATGCTTGCACTCATGCTTTTACACGTAGCGAGTAGAGTGCCTAGTCAGTGGACAGTTAGTGCATTTCATACAACGCGTTACAAAACAACCCATAAAAACTCCTATA